TTGGTCTTTTTGAGACAGGGTCTCCCTGTAGCCCCAGCTGGCCTTGAACTTGCTCTGTAGACCAGGCTGGCCTTGAACTCACAAGAGATCCGCTTGCCTCTGCTTCCCGAGTGCTGAGACTAAAGGTGTGTGCCACCATACCCAGTGCTAGATCCACTGTTTTTAAAAAGGCACCAGGCACCCTGACAATTTCTTTTCTCAACAGTCATTGTGGCAGTCAAGTATCTAAATCCCTTCAGTGTCCAAATGTACAAAAGCACTCTAGGAGAAAACATTAAAATGGCATTCTGAATAAATTTGCTATACATTACATGACTCAGGAACACAGAGGGAAAAGCCCAAGCACAGCCCCAGTATTTCATATAGAAAAGCACTACAGGAGAAAACTTTAAGAACATTAAAACTCAGGTGCATATAAATATATTTGGTCTATGTCATATAGAAATTCTGTCAGATACTCACTCAGTCTTCTAGGTAATGCAATTTGAGTTTTCATGTCTGATGGCAAATCCAGATCCTGAAAATTTGTTTTAAATGCATATACATAAATACATTAAGCTGCTAAGAGGTAATTCTGACTCCTTTCATAAGCCAATCAGAAGAGTTTCTCAACAATGGCAGGGGACCATTAGCTGCCCTTTGAAACTACTGTCTTACTGAAATCTAGACACATCACTGGACATCTCTCAAGCATAGGCGCAGCTGCGGTTCTGAGAGCAGCACCCTCATTTCCTCCATGCAGTCCCTGCAATGCCTCTGCATCTATTCAGTGGTAGGGCAGCACTTCCCAGAAGCAGTATCTTGTTCTACTGATATGACCTTCTAACCAAAGGAGTATCTGCCATTGCCGCTGATGCTTTGTTAGAGGGAGCTGGTACACACCATTTGTGTTTGCTATCATCCCAGAGATCACAGTGAATTGTGTGTGCTGATACCACTGAGGTAAAAGCAGGAGCCCTGGCATTTGAAAGAATCAGTGTCCCAGGACAGCAGCACATAAAGGACTGGGTGCTCTGTTATCTAAGTGCCATGAAATAACTCAAAACCACTGCCAAGATGGGAATGCTGGACATCTGACACTGTAATTCAAACAACAGAAATAGGTAAAACACTCAAAATACTTTCTAAAGAAAGGATGCAATTCACAAAAAATTGGAGCGTTACTATTTTACATTTCCAAAAAAACTTCTTAAGATGGTGCCAAACCAAACTGTTTAATATAGCACAATACTTGACCTTGTCATTTTGGGGGATATAGAAATTTCAAAAATGTAGGAAATCCATGATAAGTAACAGCAAGAATTTCTAATGCCACTGCCTAAAGTTTTAAAAGGAAAACTTAAAATCCAACTTCTAAAAAAATCTCATGTTTTCTGTGCTCACTGTTCTAGATTGCTATCAAATGTAAAGGTATCCATCCATTTATAAACAAGGCCTCTTTTTCATTGACTTTGATCGCATTTAAACTTTTGAATATTTCAATCTTCAGATTCCATAAAGTAAGGCTGAGTTTGTCAGATATAAATAAGATACTTAAGTCCATGATGTACTGTAGTACCGAGAAACCCAATGCATCAAATATGTACAGGCTGGCTACAATATCTTCCCTTAAAAAAATTTCCAACATGTACCAGCAGGAAGCCACGATTGTTTTTAAATTTCTCTGGCTGCAAAAATGGGGCAACAGCATTCTCCTCACTCAGCTTTCCTCTTGAACCTGAGGTCAGGGCAGGCCTAGGTTGACAGGTATGGCCTCTTGGGTGGTGGAGGTGGCATGAGCTCTGTGTCAGGGTCCAGAGAACGCTTTCGTTTCTGTCCTTGGGCAGCTGTGGCACATCTGTCGATGAACTCAAACAGCATCTCCTTGGTGACAGGGTTTGAGATACTGTTACACACAGCTGTAGACAAAAGGGGACAGCATCTCAGGTGAGAGTTAATTAAGGCAGGTGACTCACCACAGGGTAAGAATGGTATCCATGCATTTCTGCAAAACCCCACCATTTCACTGATAGGCAAGTCTTCTGGTTAAGCTAATACCCGTGTCCTACCACCAAAGTTAGGTATTCTTCCACTGCCTATTCTTTACTGAAGTATTTTAAACCAAAATGTTAACTATTTGGGCTTCAAGCGTGTCTTCACTATGGTTTTCTATTTCTCCAAAACAGTTTTCATGAGATTTTAATGCAGTCCACAGTAAACTCAAACGTCTGCACAAAAAAAGTAGACCACAGTTCTTCAGTCCAACAAAAGCCCCTGAATGTGAAACAGTAACTTTTACACTAAAAATCCTAAACTGGCCATCTCTCTCTACTCTCTTAAGCAGTTCCTCTTCTTCCTCCTCTTCCTCTTCTTCGTTGACTGAACGCTCTAAAAGCTCACAATTAACTTTTAATTTTGTTTTCTACCTTTTATCTACCTTTTTACGCCTTTACTAGTAGTGACCTTATAAATTTAAACTAATTTGTGTTATTCCTCATGAAAACAATGAACTGTTCTGAGTCTCCAAAGCAGCGGATTATACCCAAAGAACACTGAAGGACCTGCAGAGCAGTTTTTACTTTAAAACTGGTTTTCATTTACTTTTTCTCCATTGTAGTTAAAGTTATTTTAGGAGCTGGAAATTACATTTTCCCTTGCTAATTCTGTTTCTTACCATCTGGCAAACAATGGTTTTAATAGTTTTGAATAGATCAGAAATTACCATGGCTTTTGTTGTTGCTAATGTTCAATAAGTTCAACTTACAAGCAGCCCACTGTTCTGCCCTTTCAACTTCCCTCTCAGAACACTGTGCCAGCTCTCCAGATTGGAGAGGAGGATCTTCAACAGACTAAGACTAAACTAACAAGGAACAGGCCTAACAGGGTGTGATTTCTGTCAAACAAGGAGGTCTGAATGTCTGCCTCCATCAAGCAAGATAGCACCAACAGCACACATGGATTCTAATACCATAACTTTATATAATTTAATGTAATGGCCACTGTTCATACTCACCCATAGCCGTGTTATAGGCATTCGGGAAACTTTTGTCTATTCTCTGTCTCATGAAGACCCAGCTGTTATTCTCAAATTTGCATTCTATAATTTTGTTGTCATACTGTTTTAGCTCCTTTGTCACCTGTTTTAAAAGAGAATTGAAGAAAATATTTAAATCATCTGAAAGGCTTTTTGCTTCCACTATGTGACAGACACACTAGGAAATGCCAAAAACACCTCAGTAACTCTTCATGCAGAGCTCTTTGTCATCTGAAGCGTCTAATCAAGCCTGAAGACATGGTGCGTACTTTCTGTACACACGCTCATGTATCTGACACTTCATAGTTGTGAAAATGGCTGTCAATATACAGCAATTAAAAGAAGCTAAGCAGAAAGCAGCCACTTCTGGGCCAAATGCAAATATGTTACCATGGCGACAATGTTTTCAATACTGTCTGTATTTCTCTGGCATCAGAAACTGAGTATTCTGTTTAGGGTTCATCAACTTTCAGAAAAGTCTCACCATCTAAATTCCTATGCTAAAACATAAAAAAAAATCTCTTTATTATGGATAAAAGAAAAAGGCTGCACATTAAAAGTAAAACACTAGGATCAAATTCAGGCAATGTGCTTCCTAAATATTTAGCAGCAGTGATAATGAACCCAAATCTAGTCTTTAGGCTACTTACCCTTCCCATATCCCCAGTAAGCAAGTGTGAATTTAGAGGAAGCTACTGTGACTTTAGCTGGTCTGTTTCTTGGCTTCTTTACTTCAGATGATTGAATATGGATTACAACTTACTCTGTCAAAGCCACCAAGTATCCATGGTAACTATAGAACCTTTAAAAAAATATTCCATCAGGCTGGGAGGATCGCTTTCATAAAAAGGAGCCTAAGCTTATCTCTGCATTTTCCAATCAAATGCCAGTCATGGTAATATTTTAATTCTGTCCTCATCCTTCTGAGCTAACAACTCTTTCTCACAATATGGTAGATTGCAATCATTTAACTTCATTAGCATTATTTGAAATGCTCTCATTTTTCTACCCACACATTCACTACCACCTAGGAATATGAAGGCATATAAATTTTTTAAATATGATTTCAATTCACAGATTAGGCAGGACCATATCTTCATACAAACTTTCAAATTGTATTCCTTTTCCCTCAATGAGTATTACATTTGATTGGACTATTTGCATTTTCAACAAATCTAACAGGTCTAATACATTCCGTGGTTCTGGAACTACACCTCCCCAAGCTTGCCAGTGTATTCTCGGATGCTCCAAATTCTAATCTCAACTTTCCTGCCGTAGCAGGAGTCCACCTTCTTCTGCGTCCATCGGTCATCATGCAGGTACCGAGTAACTCATTCAATGAAGTGACCACTCTGGGTTATGCCATGGAGAAGGTCTAACAGAAACAGGTTTCAAGCCTTTCAACATCTCTATCTTCTTATCCCTAAATCATCAAAGGATTTCCTACTATACCGGGTATGGAAAGACAGTGCCTGGCCCAGAGAAAGCTACTGATAAATATAAAATTAAAAAAACGATTTCCCACTGGGCATGGCAATGCACACCTTTTAGTACCAGCACTCGGGAGGCAAAGGCAGGCAGATCTCTGTAACATCTTCGTGAGTTCAAGGCCAGCCTGGTCTACATAGTGAGTTTCAGTGGGGCTATAGGGAGACCCTATCAAAAAGACCAAAAAGACCAAACCAAACAAAACAAAACAAAAAAACCAAGAAAAAGCCTCAAAACCCCACAAAACACAAAATTCCCATCTTAACCATAAGTGCACAGCTTAGTAGTGTTAAGCACATTCATATAGTTATGCAACAGAGTACAAAATTTGTCTACCTTGTAATCCTATAATTTTGCACACATAAAGTACCTAGAACTTTCTATTTTCTGCTTATGATTTTTACTACTTTACACATTTTAAGTGGGTAGAATCACCTGATATTTATCATTTTGTGACTAGTTAATTTTGCTTAGCATAACATCCTTGAGGTTTATTCATGCTGTAGCACATGACAGAGTTCCTTTTCAGGTTGCATAATATTCCACCATATGCATAACCATAGTTTCTTTAGTTATTCATCTGCTGGTGAAGATTTGGGTTTTTTATTACCTCTTGGTTACTATGAATAATGCTGTGATAAAAGTGAGGGCACAATAATATCATTTTGAGGTCTTGTTTTAAGTTCTTTTGGAAGAAGAAGTGAGAATGCTGGATCATGTAATAACTCAGAAGTGAGAATGCTGGATCATGTAATAACTCAGAAGTGGAAATGCCGGATCATATACTTCTATTTTAAATTTTCCAAAGAACTTCTATACCATTACTCAAAATGGTTGCACATATTACATTCTCACTAACAGTGCATCCTCACCAACATTTATCCTTTTCTTTTGATGCTGACCATCCTGATGGGTGCCAGATAAATGTGGTTCTGAGGTGCATGTTCTAATGATTGGTAATGCTGAGCATTGCTCTATATGTTTATGGGTTGTATACCTCCTTTGGAAAATGTCTATATAAATCCTTTGCTCTTTTGGGGGGAGGGGTGGAAGCCTCAGGCTGGTCTTGAACTTCTGATGTCCAACCTGGCCTCAAATTTGTGATCCTCCTATCTTAGCTTTCTGAGCGCTGGGATCACAAGCTTTTATCTAACACATCCAGCTACTTTGCTTATGTTTTAAAAATATTTTGTTGACTGGAGAGATGGCTCACCATTTAAGAGTACTGGCGGTTCTTGTAGAGGACCCAGGTTCAGTTCCCAGCACTCACATGGTGGCTAACAACTGTGCATAACTCCAATTTCAGGGGATCCGACACCCTCTTCTGTCCTCCGTGGGCACTGCCTGACATTGGTTCACTGACACACATGCAGGCTCTTGCTGAGCCTGCCCACTTTTCTGAGTTACTCAGAAAAGCATAACTTTTTCTTTCTTTTTAAAATTATTTTTATATGAATGAGTGTAATGTCCACAAAAGTGTAAGTGCACATGTGTCCTCAGTGCCTGTGAAGGACAGAAGAGGGATCCTCTAGAACTGGAGTTACGGAGGGTTGTTAGCCACCATGTGGGTGCTGAGAACCGAACCGACATCCTCTGCAAGAACAGTCAGTGCTCTTAAATGCTAAGCCATCTCTACAGCCCCTTTACTTATGTTTCTTAAAAAATGTTTTTATGTGTACATGACAAATCTGACCATAACCCCCTCCCCCACAAATACCCTCCTGTGACCTTCCTGTGAACTATAAAACAAGATCATAAAAGCCTCTCTTTACTTTGATGTCTTTTTCTCCCCTGGACTCCACATAAGAGAGAAAATATGTCATGCTTGTCTTTCTAACTCTGGCTTATTTCACTTAACATGATGTCATTCTGTCCTTTTCCTGCATATGACATGAGTTTGCTCTTCTTTGTGACAGAATACTATACCACTGTGCATATGTCACATTTTTCTTTGTCCATGTACCTGTTGGTGAGTGCCCATGAATTTAATTAAAGATTTGTTATTATTGAATTGTAGTGTCTGGGTATTAACACTTATCAGATGATTTGCAATTCTTCTATTCTCTATGCTACCTTTGTACACTGTTAATGGGTACAGTTTTAACTTTGATGAAGTCTATTTTCCATTTTGTTGGCTGTGATCCTGGTGTCATATCTAAGGTGTCATTGCTAGACAAGATCTCGTCCTAAAGTTTCCCGTTTTTTAAATTCCTTCAGGGAGTCAATAGTTTAAGGTCTTACGTTTCCTTTTTTTATTTTTTAATTTTATTATTTTTATTTTATGTGCATGTGTGTATTGCCTGCATGTAGGTAAGTGCACCCATGTCCTGCAATGCCCGCAGAGGTCAGAAGAGGCTGTTGGATCCCCTGGGACTGGAGTTACGGACAGTTGTTAGCTGCCATGTGGGTGCTAGGATGTGAACCCAGGTCTTCTGCAAGAACAACCAGTGTTCTTAACCGCTGATCCATCTCTCCAGCCCCTCATTTCCATTTTTAATCCATTTGGCAGTTAACTTCTTATATGGATAAGGTCAAAGTCCAACGTCTGTCTGTTGCCAGTAGAAATCCAGTTTTTCCAACGCTGTTTTTATTGAGGAAACTACCTTCCCTAGTGTGTAATCTTGGTACCCTTGTAGAAAAGCATTTGTTCATATGTCAAGGACTTCTTTCTGCGTTCTCTATTCCATCTGTTGCTCTAGTTGTTTCTGCTATTGCTTGAGACAGGGTCTTCCTATGCAGCTGAGCATGGCCTCAAGTTCATGATCCTCCTGTCTTAGCTATATGTTATAACAGGAGTTATAACAGGATAACAAGCGTGTGCTACCATACCTGCCTTTGAAAAAAGAGGCTATCTGATTTGTTTCTGTAGCCTCTTTGTCTTTGTCAGTAATAAAGTGTGCTTTCCAAGTCACTGTTGCTTTGAAGTCAGGAATATGAGGTTTCTACCTTTGCTCTGATTCAACTATGTGGGATCCCTTCAAAGTCTGTATGAATTTTAGCATAGCTTTTCTATTTCTGCAAAATATACTATTAGGATATTAGGATTCTGATGGGAACTAAGTGAATCTGTACACCGCTATAGGTACTGTGCATGTTTTGACAAGTGTCTTCCAATCCATTATTGTTCAATGCCTTTTCATTTGTTTGTATCTTTGCTTTCTTTTAACAAAAATCGTTTTTTCTTTTGTTGTTTTTTTTCCTTTAAACAACTTTACAAGTAAACTCACTGAAGGAATCATGCTGACATGAAAAGGTACACTCTGAGAACAGCTGTCAAGAAAATTATATCTTAGGATTTTACAAGAATGGAGCTTGCTAGTCAACAAGTGCAGCCTGTGCTCTTACTGGCTAGCAACTGGGGTAATATCATGCAGCTTATCACTCTTGTATTCTTGGTTTCAGAATTATTTTAAATTATATGTTTCTTCATCTGACTACAGCAATTAAGCAGTATTATTAACTATCTGCTGTAGCTGTTTGGCCAGGCATTAACAATCTGCAAAGGTCTTTCCAGAAAACTCACGCACCTGCTACTACTAAATTAAATTCCTTTCCATGTTTAAGAAGACCATGTTGCTCTTTGCTGACCATATTATACCCCCACCACAGACATGC